GTGGTCAGCACAGTGGCTAGAGACCCACAGAAGGCAAAGGCCCTGGGTGGGCATGCCTGGCATGGGTGAGGAGGAACACACGAGGCCGAAGTGGGGGGGATTATGAATTTATTAGGTCATCTGGACACCGGATGGGCTGAGCCCCAAAATGGCGCCAGCCCCCGCAGACGGGGAGCCAGGTTTTTAAAGACTCTGGGCGGCATCTTCTGGGCAGAGAGCTCTCTGTGCAGGTCTGGATTGCGGGGAAGTCGGAGGGGAGAGAGAATGGTCCATTGTGAAGTGGCCTGAAGGTCAGTTCCCAGGGGAGGGTACCGGTTCCGTTATTTGATCAGACCTCACTGGGAGGCCTTTCTGCCCAGGGCAGGAGGCCAGGGGGAGGTGTGATCTGGAAGACGAGGAAAAAGTTGGGGGAGGCTTGGATTTGGTGCAATGACGTCATCTTTGTTCCTGAAGGAGATGGGAACTCGTTAGATGGTTTACATTGGTCTGACTTAGGGTTACATATGTGTCTGAGTGTTCAGTCCAATAGATTCCATGGAGAAATCCTCCTGCACACGAGCCACGCCCACCCAGTGTGTGAAAATGTGAGCACATTTACCCTGCAGTTGACTTTGATCTGGGCCGTGTGCCCTGCGGATGGCTGCACGGAGGCAGGCAATGCTGAGTCCTGCGTGAGGGGGCTGGGCCGTCTTCTAGGTCCTGTTTCCCGAGAGCCCCGTTTCTGTTGATGGAGCCCCAGTGAATGGGCAATCAGTACTGACCAGGGGTCAGAACAGCGCTCCCAGCCTGGGCGACTTCGGCCTGGGAATTATTTTGAGCTGAAGGTGATGGAGACCCAGCCAGGTCCTGAGGGGCCCTTACCTCTCTGAAGAAATGAAGAGTTATCACCAGCAAGAACTATGCATGGCCCACCCAGAGGGCAGGGCACGCTGCTGATTACTGGACATCTTCTCTTCGTATGTCCTGCCATGACCTTCCTCCTCTCCCAAGCCCCCGTGCCTTCCCGCACCCCTAGCTCAGGTCATACACCCCTCATCATCCTTCCTGTCTCTCTCATGTCTGTGTGACCCCGCACATACTAGTCTGTGTGCGCTTAAGCTCATGGTTTCTTGTCACTCTGTCCCGTGCCTATTTAATTATTAAACAAACAAGAACCTACAAGGTTCTCTTCCCCCGCTCCCCCCCCCCTCAACCTCAAAACCTGCCCAGTGACGTCACAGCTCCCTGTCTGCTCTCTGGTCCAGGGCTGTCCCCAATAGCTGGTTGTGCTTCTGACTTTTCCTACAAAAATGCAAAACTTGAGATTTTAAAAACCTTTGCTCTGAAGGGTTGTTAGAGGGAAGCCACCCGGTCCCCGCCCTTCATGGTGCAAAGAAATGCAGCCACAGGCCTCCGGCCCAGAGCCCAGGGGAGCCCAGGGGAGCCCAGGGGAGCCCAGGGGAGCCCAGGTCAGAATCCGACTCCAGGTTTGCCTCCTGCTGACTCATCACCGACACCTTGTCCTTCACAGGCCGACTGCGGTTTCTTAAATAAGCGCTCGTTTACCTGAGGCGCAGTGCGCTCCAGTCTTTATTTTCATAGGAGTTAGAGCGATTGGGTTTTTCTAGTGTCTTCGAAGCATTCTCTATAGCAGTGGTTCTCAACCTTCTGGCCCTTTAAATACAGTTCCTCATGTTGTGACCCAACCATAAAATTATTTTCGTTGCTACTTCATAACTGTAATGTTGCTACTGTTATGAATCGTCATGTAAATATCTGATATGCAGGATGGCCTTAGGCGACCCCTGTGAAAGGGTCGTTCGACCGCCAAAGGGGTCACGACCCACAGGTTGAGAACCGCTGCTCTATAGACTTGTCCTCCCAAGCACTGACCTTTGGAATCTGGTGCCTCTGCCGTCAGTGAAGGGAGGGGGGTTCGCAGTCGGGGTGGGAGAGCGATTTCCCACTGGAGGCCTGTGCCACTGCCGCTCTTGTTCCGAGCCACCACTGAGCCTGGACTCCAGGCTCACACCTGCTCCCTGCTGCTGTGGCTGGAGGTGGTGAGGCCTTACCAGGCTCCCCTGGCTGCTCCTTCACTTCCCAGAACGTGTTCAGAAGCTGCCCTCCCATTAGGAGCCCAGACCCTCACGCTCGCCCTGGAGTTGCTGTGTGTCCTTGGTCGCCGTCAGAGGAGACGTGAGGGTCCCCTCCGGCACGGTGGGCAGGTTCAGGTCCTGCTCCGTCACCTCCGCTGTGCTGGGGGCACCCCTCCCCCGGGGGGCAGCTTCTAACTCCTCACCTGGCGCCTGAGGGGCTCCTACTCTTTATATTTCAAACTCCACAAGACTTCCTTCCTTCAGGCCCCAGACCCACAGGTAAGAGAACGCACACCTGCCAGGAGGCATCTCCCATGGCTGGGCCCACATCCTCTCGCTCCTGGGAGTAAGGCAGCCCCCACAGGAGCTGCAGGGCCGCATCCAGCCTCAGACCCTTTCCTTCCCTGTGTCTTTCAGCCTGGCTGCTGCTCCAGACGCCCCGCCTGCTGGTCCCGCAGGGGGCCCCCATCGTGCTGCGCTGCCACAGCTGGAAGAACTGGCGCCTGTACAAGATCCAGTTCTTCCAGGACGGGAAACCCAAGTGGTTTTCATACACGAACGCCAGCTTCTCCATCCCACACGCGAACGCCAGCCACAGTGGCGCGTACCACTGCTCAGGGCTCATAGGGCAGATGCAGCACACATCGCAGCCCGTGAACATCACTGTCCCAGGTGGGAGCCCTGCCCAGGTGCAGGAGGGGAGGGAAGTGCTGGGGATGAGGTCTGTTCCCTTGTTCACTTCTCCCCAAGGCTGTGCCCCGTCACCTTTTATATTCACGATGCACCTTAAAAGCTTCGAGAAGCCTTGTTGTAAAGAAAACTTTTAAACTAAATTTCATAAGGCATTTGCAAAACCTATGTTACCACACAAACCTTTTCCTCTATGACTATGTGGGGGAGGAAAAATGTTCTCTACTCTTTAAGCTTCTCTCATCTGGTTTAATAATTAAAATGACATGAGATAGATTAACAAGAAAATGAGCAAATTCAATTACACACCTACGTATGGGGACCCACAGACATGAGAGAATCAGAGACAGAAAGGGATAATGAGGGACATAAGACATTCTGAGCTAAGGATGAGGTGAGGCACGGTGTGGGGGAGGGAGGTTTGGCGGAAGGTCATTGCAGGATGATAAGAGCAGATGCTCAGTACTGAACTAGTTTTCTCTGCCCTCTACATAGGCCATAAAAAGTTATTTCTGGCCCTAGCTGGGTTCGCTCAGTAGTTAGAGCTTCGGCCTGTGGACCCTTGGTCCCGGGTTCAATTCTGGTCAAGGGCATGTACCTCGGTTGCAGGCTCCTCCCTGGCCCCAGCCCTGGTCGAGGCTCGTGCAGGAGGCAACCAATCCACGTTCCTCTCACATCGATGTTTCCCTCTGTCTCCCCTCTCCCACTTTCTCTAAAATCAATGGAAAACATTTCTCATGAGCCCACAGGGTCTCCATTGCCTTCAGCTCAAAACATCCACATGCCAAAGTGGCACCGCGTGGGGAGCCCCTTCAGCTTCTGTCAATGTCCCTCCGGGCAGACTCAGCTCAGCTCACCGGGGCAGGTGCTGAGGGAGCTTTACTTGGAGGCAGGAGACTGGACCTGCTGCCCCCGCCAGGCCGCGGCCCCGGCCTGGAGGACTCCACAGAGGGAGGGAGTCCTGGGGACCCGGCTGTGGATTCTGACCGTGGCCTTTAACAACTGTCGTTTCTCCATCCACAGCCCTGTCACCCGTCCTTCCTCCGTGGCCCCAAATCGCGTTCTGCCTGGTGATGGGGCTCCTGTTTGCAGTGGACACGGGGCTCTATTTCTTTGTGCAGAAGGAACTTCGAAGCTCAGCGAGGGACTGGAGGAGTGACAAAGTCACATGGACCAAGAGCCCTGAGGACAAGTAATGCCTCCTCGCACCTGTGAGAGCTACAGGTCTCCGCAGGCCAGACCTCTGTCCCTCGCAGCGCCTCCTGGTGGGCGAGCTGGAGCTGCGAGGGGCCTGGGGGCAGGAAGGGCCTGTAAGCTCAGAGCCGAGCCACCCCCAGGCCTGCTGGTCACGAGGACTGACCTGTGTCTTCACAGGCCTCACAGAGGCTCCTCACATACACGCGCTCACCAAGTCCTGCTTCCACTTTCACACCAGCCCAGCACCTGAGCGCGGCTCGGCTCCCGCAGGTCTGTTCTCGCCAGAGCCACCTCTAAAGTGCTTACCGGCCACTTCTGTGCTCCAAGCCACGCAAAGCGACCCCTTGCACTTACGAGTGAAAGCTCAGGCCTTCGCAGCGCTCTCAGGCCTCACTGCCTCCACCTCGGCTGCTCCTGTTCCTTGCTTCCTTCACACACCGATCATACTTCTGCCCAGGGTTATGTTATTCCCTGTTTCTGGAATGTTCTTTCTTACAGACGTGTCATCATACGTCATCATGGACTTTACCCAAATGTCACCTATCAGTGAGGTCTCCTTGATCATCCAATATGGTTCCACTCCCCACCGTCTCCTGACCCCCTCGCCTGCGGTGCTGTTACCAAGCTCACCTGCTGAGGGTTTGCTGCCCAGCCCGCCCGCCCTCGAGAGCAGGGCCTTTGCTCACTGCTGTACACCACGGCCCAGCGCAGTGTCTGGCACGTGATAAAGAACTCGGTGTTCGTGGAATGAGTAAAGTCTTTAGCAAATTTAGGGGATTTTAAATCTAGAAATGATGTAGTGCAGTCTCCTCATTTTAAAACGGAGGGCGCAGTGGCCGGGATGCTTGAAATGACCTTGCTCAGGATGTACAGGTGGGTGATGTCACCACTTTATAGACACGGACCTTGACGGACACGGTTCTGGACACGTTTTGTTCTACAACTTGCTTTTTGTCCTCGGCCATCAGCCTCACGCCCACTTCACAGCGCCTATTGAAAGTCATCACTGTAATGTCTGTTCTGCTTCCCACGATGCTCACACGAAGCTCCTCCACGTGAGCAGGCCTGTGCGCTGTGCGGTCCGAGTGAACAGGGAGGCAGTGGGCGACCCTGGAGAGCGTGATGGATGCGGCAGTTGATGCCCAGGCTCGGAGGTGCGGGCTTCAGCGCTGGGCCTGGAGCTTGGGGGGGGGGGCGGTGATAGGGGGTTTTGAGCCTCAGGGCTGGGAGGGAAGGTGGAGGGAGCTGGGACAGGCAGTCCCTGAAGAGGCCAGGCCACCGGCCCCTTCTCTCTCAGGCCCTTGGCTAAAATGCCCCAACTCCGCCCGGGCAGTGGCCTAGACCCGAGAGGAAGGGATCCGGGAGGGCAGCCTGGAGGAAGCGAGGGCTGACTGAGAGCTCCTTCCCGTCCCCACACCTCCCCAGGCCCCAGCTTCCTGCAGGAGAAGAGCCATCTGAGGAGAGAAGAGCCACTTTAGCTTCTCCTTAAACACAGTCGTTTCATTTGAATCAGGCAAATCACAAAGGTTACATAAAAGCTGCGGCCCGGGACGGAGACCTCAGGGCGCCCCTGCGC